TGTAGCTAACATCCACGAAAGCCTAGTGTTGTAGTTGTACTCGCTTAGGTCGTGAGTGGAAGAGATGAAACACTGTTCATCATCTTCCTCCAAGAAATTTGGATTTTCCAGATTTTTCACTTTCACGAGGCCTGTTCACAGAGGCCATAACTTAGCGACTATGCATCCGTTTTATGTGTATTTTATGTTGTTAGAAAGATCAGATTACTAGCTACAATTAAGTCTTCTTTGGCGAATTCCAAAAGCAACTCTAACTGCACGAAAAAAAGGGTTGCAAAAACCTTAAAAAAATTCGTTTTTCATTCTATTACGAAACTAGGGTTTCAATCTCTAACCACGGTTTTTCTTTACCAAATTTTAAACATAGTCTCATATGAATGTAAAGAACATAACCCGAACATTAAAACCCAGAAAAAAATAAGCATGGCAAAAACAAAAATTTTAAAGACAAGCATTCATGGCATATTCATATATATCTCATGCTTTCATGGTTTTTATACATGACATATTCATATATATCTCATGCTTTCGTGTAAGCAGTGTATGAATGGCTCTGATCCCACTGTTGGAAGACTATAAATAAATTCGAAAGGACGTGTGTACCTTGTATGCGGAAGCTTGAATCTCGACATGCTCCTACAAACACGAACAACTGCTCTGACCATTTGTGCACGTCTAGAACCTTGCAGGTCTTTGGGTTGGCTACGGTATGTTGAGTTGTCCCTTGGTTTTCGCCTGCCAAGACCTAGGGTTGAAAGTGATAGCCCTAAAGACCTAACTAGAATATTTGAACTGTGGAAAAGTTTGTGTTTTTTTTGTGTGTTTTCTCTTTTCCCCAAAGCCTCCTTATATAGTGGTTGAGAAGAACGTACAAAGACAAAAAAGCCCATGAAAATCCCAAGTATATTTTAATATGAATATCTCTTGATTTTCATCTAATTATCACATAGAGAATTCGGAGGTTAATATCCTCATATGGGTGGAATATCCTCTGATATTTATTTATCCCATAAAATAAATCCTACAATTCTCTCATCAGATTGTCTGGTGCGTGAATGTTATATGTATTGTCAATACATTGTGAAAAAGAAACTGACTTTTCTATATGAAAATTTACAAGTTCAACCTTGTACTACTAGGTAAATATATTTCAGATCGGAGTAGGTATAGATTAATCATGGTCCATTGAATTGTAGCCCTTACGAATTTGGAAAGCTCTAAAAATGTGCACGTTACTTTCATAGTATTGTCCTACGAATGAAGTAGGTGCCGAGGAAAAGCTTTCGATTGATCACGAGCTAGCTCTAGTAACTTATATATGACAGTATGTCACATTATTATGCAAAATATATTATTACCGATGACAGCTGGTTGCAATTATCAGTGGTACTCAGTAATCCAAATGCGAGTGATATGTCTTACCAATTACCACAAATTACAGAACTGGCTAGTCAGCGAGTCAGCGAGCCTGTGAATAAAATCTGTCCTCTACGAAAAATGGCCTTTACCATTGGAGCTGGGGAAAAAAAGACAAGGAATAAAAAAGTTCACATGTATTGCATATTAGCTAGCTAGCAAGAGTACTATTGCATGCATGCACGCACAGGTGAAAAAGGGAGTTCACATGCAAGAAGCTGTAGAGAATAATGGGTCCATATATATATATATATATATATATAAATAATATGCTTATGTAATCCTCTCCATCATTGACAACTGATGTCACATCCAGTATCAGTTTTGATATATATGATTTATTTTATACGTATATGGGGAGAAAGAAAAAGAAAACAAGTTTATCTTCAAGCTGCAGGAATACAAGGTTCTACACTTCTACTTGAATTTGACAGGAGGGACATTGGCAGAAGCCCTCAAGTATTACATATTCAATTATTTCCAACATTCTGGTGAACTGTTTAAGAGCATCTTCAGCAATGCCAAGCTAAATATTTAGTTAAATTTGACTTTTAATTAATGACTATGACTTATAGCTAACCACTTTTATAATGTTTATTAAGAAAGTATGACTTTACTCCTACTTTTATAATGTTCATTTCATATCTCACATTATCTATCAAATTAACTATTGTACTATATCCAATTTTGGTCCATTGGCTATTATCTTTGCTCTATGATATCGACTCGACGTAATATCAATAATATTGATGACATATTGAGTATCATTTACTCAAAAGTTAATAATTCAATGAACAAAGTTGACGAATTAATTACAAAATATAGGGTATAGAGATGCTTAGTGTATTATTTGAGAGCATCTTGATAAATATGCCTTTTGAACTTGTCATTTTTCCGTGTACTTGGGTTTGGAATTGTATCAGCTTTGAGGGATTCAAAGCAGATAGTTTAGTATTGAGTATTCACCTCACATTCACCAATGAAAGTTTGATAACCAAAACAAGAGAGTATAACTATAACTATAAGATAAGATAAAACATTATCGTCTACCTGCATGAGTTAAATCAGTAGTTTGCCAACACATATCGGAGTGACAATGTTACCCAAATGAGAATTTAAAGGGAAGGTACCTTCAATAGATTCAAGGACACCAGTCACATGTGTTGGAATGAATAATGAAAACAGTGGGGAATGGTGAGAACCAGTAGAGAGAAGCAGCATGGGATTTGTCTACTCATCTCACTTCATTCCCTTTCAATTGATAGAGACCACAATGAATCCAAAGGACTGTCATCCTTGTTTGTGCCATTCTTTCTTTGCTTTTACCTTTTAAGCTTTTAGGCTTTTTTCAAGGAATGGGATCCAATCCGGATCCGATTTCGGATGTCAATTCATCGTGTCCGTTTATCTATCATCATATGGTCAGAAATTATTTTGAATTTTTTAATTTAAAATTGAACACAAACAGTACTTGACAAAAATTAACTGCACGATGTACGATGAACGAACACGATAAAGTGATCCTGAAAATCCTCACAAAGAGAACCCTCCTTTTTTCCTAATTCCATTCCATGATCCATTTTAAAAGGGATGTCATGATTATTTTTTTTTTAAATTTCCTTTTTCATATATAGATGATTTTTTCTTATTCCCAATTATTATTTACAGCTTCCACTAACCACTGTTATTTTCATAATGTTTATTTGTGCATCAAGTGAAGCTATTGTTGCAATAGATTTATGCTCCTCAAGTGTATTTTGCTGCTTTTGCAAGAATAATCAAATACATCATTTATAGTTTTAGAAGAGAGATTCATAGGAATTTTTTAAGAAGCACATTAAAGTAGGCATTTGGCATTGCTTAATTGCCAACGTTAAACATATTTAGACATTCTACAAAACAATTTAAGTTAGACTGATCGACACTTTGTTTTTTGTTTTTTTTGTTTTTTGAATTCAAGTTGTAGCTTGAATTCATTATAATATGATAAAAAGGAAATGTTACAGATGTAGCAAGCCCCACTTAAACTTGGTTTAGAGAGTTTGAATAAGATATGCCTTAGATGTAACAATCTAAATGTGACAACTTCGGTACATATTTTTTCTTCGAAAATAAACTTCAATTTTATTATTTAGTCTTAAAAACATATTAACTTAACTAGGGATGATAATTATATTAAATTTCTTATGTAGGCATGCGGCAAAGACTTCAATAGGACAAGTTAGTTAAAATTTCAAAGTTGGAAAACTCATATAGGGGTCATATCTCCATTCCAAGAGAACGGTGCCGTATGAGAAATTTGATGAAAAGGAGCAAGCCTTTTGTTACGCAGTGCGTCCCCTCCCAACAGTCATGCTCATTTTGTTTGAAGACTCGCACTCCGAATTTAAAGGTATTCTATAGGAAGGCAATAAGGCCGGCGATGGTTTATGGTACAAAATGTTAGGCGGTTAAAAAGCAATACGTGGAAAAAATGAGTGTAGTAGAGTTAAGAATGCTTCGTTCGGTGTGTAGGCACACAAGAAATGATTAGGATTAAGAACAAGGATATCCAATTTAAAGTAGAAGTGGCCGCAATTGCAAAAAAGATGAGAGAAAATTGGTTAAGATGATTTGGAAATATGAATCGAAGACCTATGGATGCTTCAGTTAGAAGATGCGACTATGGGACGAAGACTCATTGCAAAAGAGGTAGAAAAATATCTAAGGAGATTTTTAAAGAGACTATAATAAAAGATATACAGTACTTTGAGCTAACGGAAGGTTTGAAGCCAAACAGAGCGTGACGTTTTAGGATTCATAGTGGAATAAAGCTTGATTGTTGTTATTCTATATCTATAAATAGATGGTTTATCTAGCAGTCAAATAATTCAAAATTAATCGGTCTATATAGGAAGCCTCCTAAAAATTCATGTGTTAATTCTTGAGTCAATGAGAGAGAGTTTCTACATAGTTAAAGTTTGCTTGTTCTTGTAGTTTGGGGTGTTATTGTCACAAGAGTGGAATATCGTATCTGAAGACGAGCGTTAGAAGATCATGAGTACCCTGTAATTTGCCAACCCTAACCTCAACCAAGTTACGTTTCTTTACAATTCTCTCATTTCTTAGGTAAACAAAAAGGGAAATGACGTTTGGTAATCGATAACCGACGCTCAATTTTTATATCGAATTTTTATGATAATGAATCCCAAAAACAACAATGAAATACTTGAACAAAATGTGTTAATGGGATCACAAAATGTGTTAATAGGATCACAAAATGTGTTAATAGGATCAATACTGTAGGACCTTATGAACAAAACTGCAAGGGCCCATTAATTCAAAATTCAAGGGGGAGGGTCCCATAGTTTTCATATACTTTTGCTTCCAAATGAACCATATAAAGTATAAGCCACTCATATATGCATGCATCGAGCAAATCATTCTCACACCTAAATACTGTAACTGAAGAGTGTGTGACAGTGCAGCTCTGTTTTCACCTGCAGAGTCCACTCATCTCCTTCTCAAACCGAGCCACTCTCTATCTCCATTCAAAAAAAAAAAAAAAAAACAAAAGAAGGAAAATTAAAAAACCAACAGTCCTCTCGCTCTCGCCTAGAAGTTCCAAATCCCACATTTTCCCACACATCCATAACAAAATTAAGAAAGTCCCACGTTTTCTACCCATTTTCTCTCATTTTCCCACTAACCAAACAGCGTATATTATCTTGTCAGTCATTGTGCAGAGCCTAAACCACCCATTTCACTTCAAATCCTCAAAAACCCAGAAAAACCCAGATGCCAAAAACTGAAAAAGTTCAAAAATTCCCCACCCTCCAAACAGAAAGAGAGAAATCCCGACGTTTTCCTACCCATTTTCTCTCATTTTCCTCTAACCAAACACACCCTGTTATCTTCCCAGACAACATGCAAGGCCTAAACCACCGATTCCACTACAAATACTCAAAAACACAGCAAACCCCCGAAACCAAAAACTAAAAAAATCCAAAATTTCCCACACTTTCCCTCTCATTTTCCCACACTTCCCCACTAACCAAACATGCATTGTTTCCCTCTCTCCATTCTCCTCGTCCTCCTTCTCCTCCCCCTCTCTCTTTCCTCGCTCACCGAGCTCCCTGCTCTCATGGCAATGAAGGCTTCGTTGGACCCACAAAACCAGTTCTTGACGTCATGGACGGATCACGCCGACCCTTGCGGCGGCGCTTTCGAAGGGGTGGCTTGCAACGAGCAGGGCCGTGTGACCAACATCTCTCTGCAGGGGAAGGGCCTGTGGGGCCAGATTCCCCCGGCCGTTGGCGGCCTCAAGAGCCTCACTGGCCTCTATCTTCACTTCAATGCCTTGAGTGGGAAAATCCCGAAGCAGATTGCTGGTTTAAACCAGCTCACTGATTTGTACCTCAACGTGAACAATCTTTCTGGTGCAATTCCTCGTGAGATTGGTAAAATGCCCAATTTGCAAGGTGGGTTTTTATATTTTTTGTTATAAATTTGCATTTTTGTGCTTTTTTTGAGATTGAATGTTCACATATTTGTTTTGACGAACGATATTCTAAACTAGTCTGATTTACGAGGAGGGGGATTTGAACTTGGCCACGCTTTTTGATAAATGCATAAAGAGGCACTCAAAGCTTTCTGCTGTGCATCTCATGTGGTGAAAAGTGGGTGCATTAAAAGTTTTTGCTCATTGAATTATTGCATAAGGATTTCTGGGTCATTTTTAAATTCTGAAATCTAGATGTTGAAGCGGGTGCATCGATCAATTTGATCCCGTATTTGATGCGAATGTCCCTGGTTCAAATCCCCCCTCCTAGTTCGCCATTGATCTTAGTATTTTCCAACATATTTATTTGTAGTTTGATACGGAAAAGAGAATCTACGAAAAGAGCTTTATTTTTTTATTTTTTTTGAGATCTCTTTGAATAAACGAATTGCTTTGTCCAATGAATCATTTGGTATTAAAGAATGCTTCTATAGTTTTATTAGCATGCAACTCTCAGGGTTATTGTCAGAAATTGGGGATTAAACATATTACTCCGACCTGAGTACTCTTTGTTTGGACCTTGCAGTTTTGCAGTTGTGTTACAACAAGTTGACTGGGGGGATACCTACACAATTAGGGCAGCTTAAAAGGCTTAGTGTTCTTGCTGTGCAATCCAATCAGTTAACTGGGGCAATTCCTGCAAGTTTGGGCGAGTTGGGGACGCTAACAAGGTTAGACTTGAGCTTTAATAGCTTTTTTGGTCCTATTCCAGCAAGATTAGCCAATGCTCCGATGCTACAAGTCCTTGACGTTCGAAGCAACATTCTCTCAGGAAATGTACCTCCAGGTAATATGGTGCTACACTTCTGCTTTGCTTTCTTCCTCGTTTTTCTCTGTTCGAATTTTAATTTGACCCTTTTGCATTTTCGGATGAAAATGCAGCTCTAAAGAGACTTAATGAAGGATTCCTATACAAAAACAACCCGAGCTTATGTGGGGTTGGGTTTTCTGGCTTAGAATTGTGCACAGCTACTAATACTCGGAACCCAAACATGCCACAACCATTTGAACCTAGTAACCTTTCGGCAAAAGATCCAGACTCATCTACTGCAAAAGAAATCCCCAAGTCTGCAAATATCCATTCCAATTGTAGCAGAACCCGCTGTTCAGAGGCATCAAAATCCCCACAAATTGGTATAGTTTTTGGGGTGATTGGAGTTATTGTTGCATTAACTGTATCTGGGCTCTTCTTGTTCTTCTGGTGTCGTCGACGAAAGCAGAAGATTGGGAGTACTTTTGACTCTTCCGATAGCAGGCTTAGTACCGACCAGGCAAAGGAAGTTTATAAGAAGAGTGTGTCTCCTCTTATCAATCTGGAGTATTCTAATGGGTGGGATCCGTTGGCTAAAGGTAGCAGTGGGTACTCTCAAGAAGTTCTTGAGAGTTTTATGATTAATTTAGAAGAAGTGGAGCGTGCAACTCAAAGCTTTTCTGAAGTCAATCTGTTGCGGAAGAGCAATTTTTATGCCATCTACAAGGGTATCCTAAGAGACGGCTCAGTTGTTGCTATAAACTGCATTAGCAAGACTAGTTGTAAGCCCGACGAAGCTGAGTTTTTGAAGGGAATGAAGATATTGACATCATTAAAACATGAGAATCTTGTTAGGTTGAGAGGCTTTTGCTGCTCAAAAGGCAGGGGAGAGTGGTTTCTTATCTATGACTTTATCCCAAATGATAGTCTGTTACAGTATCTTGACATTAAGGATGGGAGTGGGGAGGTTCTTGAATGGTCAACCAGAGTATCTATAATCTATGGGATCGCTAAAGGTTAGTGTATATATTGCTCAGTAAAGTAATTGTCATTGTTATTTTTCGATTTTGCTTTTTCGTTTCTCTTCTACTTTGGAGACACCAAAACTCCTTACCGTGCAATTTACTTGGTGTGTGCTGAAATTTGACATGATATTATTCCCTTCTAATACTTGACGTTTATTACTAAATATTTAACATGTTTTTTGGAAGCAGGTGTTGGATATTTGCATGGAAACGTGGGCAATAAACCTGCTATTGTTCACCAGACTATATCAGCTGAGAAGGTGCTTATTGACTCCCACTACAACCCCTTACTCTCAGATTCGGGCTTGCACAAACTCCTCGCAGATGATATCGTCTTCTCCATGCTCAAAGCAAGTGCTGCCATGGGGTACCTGGCTCCCGAGTACACAACCACTGGACGCTTCACTGCAAACAGTGACATTTATGCGTTTGGTATGATTGTATTTCAAATCCTTTCTGGAAAACGTAAAATCACCCAGGTGGCTCGCCAAGGTGCTGAGGCCGGCAGATTTGAAGATTTTATGGATGCAAACCTTGACGGAAACTTTTCAGAATCAGAGGCAAGTAAACTTGGCAGACTTGCTCTTCTTTGCACGCACGAGTCTCCCATTTACAGGCCATCAATGGATAATGTGGTGAAAGAGCTAAGCGAGTTTATTTGCGCGTGATTCATACGGAGTTGCCACAATTTTCAAATGCTAGAGAGGTTAGATGAGTCAATTAAGTTATTAACTGCTAACTGGAACTGGAGTTGTGTTCTTCTTACCATCAATTCAGATTCTTGACTGAAGTTGTCGTGAACGGCATGTACGTATTATATGTACTGGTTGTGTTGTAATGTGTGACAGATGGTCATAAGTGTTTTTGATGGGAGGATGCATCATTTGATCAGCTGCCTTTGTTGAACTGAAGCCTTGCAAGGAGGCATGTTGCTTGAATTAGGAAATTAAGGTTATTTGTAATTTTCATGTGTAGCATTTGGAAGATGTTGTGTTGCAATGTCATTAGCTTGAACTTGTCAAAACTAATTTCTGTAAACCCCTTAAATAAACATGTTGCTCAGATGTTAGTTATGCCAGTTGGCCGGGGCATTGTGCTGCTCCTTTAGAGATAAGTTGGAATCCTTCTCCTATATTATAATATTCTAGAGTAGAATACTGCCTTATTAAAATTAATATGTTGCAATGGAAAGGGCTAAAGGTTCAAAAGCTAAAAAATAGTCTGATTGTCCAAAAACTCATTTTTAACCGATGACTAGACTATAATTTTGTGGAGCCCACCGGGCCATTATTTGGCCAAAGCGGCATCAGGTTGGCCATATATAGCCTCGCTCTTAGACCTTTTTTTGGAGCCTCAACCCCTTTTAACCTTCTCGGTTAGAGATTATATATGAGTATAATTTTGATGGGGTTATATTTGTTGGGGATGGCCAAATCTGTGAGACTGAGATCCACACACGTATGAGACTGAGATACACCCACACAGCTCCAAATATCTGAGACTGATATCACACACGCGTAGGTCCAAATCTGCTTTTGCTAAAAAGTGCCTGCGGGTGCTTCTTGTCGTTTTTGCCTATATATGTCGTCTTTGTTTTATTGCTTATCATTTTCTTCCTACTTTATGGAAAAGACAGAAAGAAACGAATATTGAAATGGCTGGCTCTCCATTCTTCCCAAGCGAGGGAATCTTCGGGTTCTGCTCATTTTTGTACAAAGAACAAATGCTAACATGTTTATGATAGTTCGTGTAACATCACATTCTGATCAAAGCCAATGTTATGAAATATAAGTTCAGAATTTAGCCAAATTGTTTAGAGTAGTGGACCCTTTCTTCTATATGAGTTGGATTATTCTTTGAGGAATGCTAAAATTAGGGGTTTGTATCAGTGTGGATGACGATTAATCATGAGTCGTTAATGTATGCGAGTCTCACCGACAATTGACTAAGCCGATTTAGAACCCTGCCCCCAAGCGAAATCCATAATGACATTATTGTGCTAAAAAAGCAATCTTCTAATTGAGAATCAAACCATGAAGTTCCTCAAAAGGAACTAGGTCAGATCCCAACCAAACAACAGGGTCACATCCGATACCAAATGGAGATGCAAATTAGGGTGTTGTAACTGACTAGCTTTTAGTCCAATGTTTTGCAAATTATATATGACCAGCTTAATTTCATAATTGTGTTGCATACAGTGGCAGATTCAGGAATTGGATCTTAGGGGTCCTAGTAATAAAGTACAAGTTTTTAAGATAGAAATAAAATGCTAAGTGCACGAAAAAAAAAAATCAGTTTATTCACTGAGGTAATTTGTCGAACACTTAGTAGACCTATTGTCGTCACGTCAAACCACGTTGTGTACATGTCAACAGATATCGACATATGTTGAAACAATCTAATGAGTAATATCGAGAGAAATTGTCGAGTATTGTTGACGCAATCTATCAAGATATGTCTAGTAGATATTACATTAAACACTTGATAGGCATAAAAAGGGACCCGTACAAACATTCGGAGGGTCCTCGAAAGACCTTCACATGTATATTTTCCGAATTCTAAATGATCCTAGGACCACCTTGGTCCCAATGCATATCCACCCTGATTGCATATGCTTGGTTCATTTGATGTGAATTGGAGTTGCAAATAAGGGTTTTAAAGAGACCCATGGTCGATTTTTTCCTTCCACGTTATCAAGCAAATCATATGACCATCTTCGATGTAGAGGTTTAAAAGAAATTGATCAAACGGCCTAAATTTAAATCTAAAGCCTACGGATAACATCTTAAATTGTTTCATGCTTGGAATGTGTTTGATGTGTATAGGAAGATATTGATGTGTGGTTAGACTGTGTTCAAGGGGGTTTCGTTGGGCAATCTTTCATACTTTGTTGATTACTTTTAACTAAGTTTAAATGTTCACAAAAATTATATTAACACAATCTATACAAATATTACTTCGAAATATGTTAATGAAAAAATAGCCTTGTTAGAGTCCTAAATTCATTAGAAGTGTAATTGTGTAAATCTTTATAGGATTGTATAGTATATTTTACATAGTTTGCTAGTTGTAATGTATTACTTGAAGTCTTGAAAGGCAAGAATTTTCCATTCCTTACTAATATAAATAAAAACACAGTGACGTGAGATAATACACAACATAGAATTCACCAATCCTTTCTTCTCTCTCTTTTCGCCGGCCTCCCTCACCCTTTTTATAATCCCTCAGTACAATAGGCCCATAATACGTTAACAGAACCCTCCCGCTGTTGCGCTAGGGAACTAAATTTTTTTGAAGGAGGTTCTTCTACAACTGGCATTCAAGGGCTTTCTTTGTTTTCATCCAATCCAAGTTCTTCTAAGACACGGAATCGATATTTTATAAGCCCTGATAGCATGAAAACATTCACTATGATGCATAAACCCTCAATTTATCTATGCTTTATATATTACCTTATACTGCATTTATCTTTCTAAAATATATATCTTGTTCATGCATATGCAATATTATGTTGATTTTGTAGAGGCATATTATGTTTTATTATGCTATTTTGCTATGTTCAATTTTGTGATTACAAAGAAAAACAAAAAATAGAAGCTAAAATAAGGAATTTTAAAACCTTGAAGACGCAACCCGCCGAGCTGAGCCTTCGGCTCCAGCTCCTAGAACAACATCATTTTGGGGATGAAAATTCAGTTATTGAGGATATGGGGAAAAATCGAAAATATTATTTGGTTATGGTTTCAGATATGGTTATAGGAGTCTCCGATCCATGTCCTTCTCCGAATCCGACATGAATATTACACATTATATATAATATACTTTATATATATATATATATATATAGTATTGTATAATATATATGTATATTCACAGAATCCATTGCCTTGAGAATTACAAGAAGTTGCATTTTGTGAGAAAGTTAAAAAGTTTTAAATCAAAACCAATAAGAATTCAATCATGCTTATGAGAGATCAAACATAAGCCAATATCATCAATGTATCTATTATATTATAATATGTCAATTGGAATATATTTTTGGTATTGATGAAGATGGATATAATTGTTTACTAATGGGGAAATCCCTATTCGGTGGGTATGGCTATGGATAATCCCGATGGTTAATTGGCAGTTATGGATATGATTAATTTTCATGGTTATAAGAATGAGTATAACATTTCTGTCTTCAAACCGAACCGTTGCCATCCCTATTGTTGGGCGTTCTATCTGCCTAGCCCACGTTCTGTTTGCTCTGGGTTATTCAGCCTGGACCCAGCTGGCTAGGTTGTTGCTTTTCGCGGTCTAAGCCAATTTTTGTTTCACAACCCGCATCTAGCTTTTTTGGGTGCGGACACCCCCAATTTTCAGCCTTTCTTATTTGTTTGGCTCGTAGCCATCCAAACCCAATATGACCCCAACGTTTATACTTTCTTGCTTCCACAACCGACTCATGTTTGGTTCTTGGCCTATTGAATTAATTTAGTGATCAACATTCCATTAATTTGAAAAAAAAAATTTCGACATGCAGTCCACTTTTCTAAATTAACGATTCAAGATTCTATTTTTTTTATTTGAACCGTTAACATCTTTTTGTAGTTTTGAGGCTACTCACACTGCTCAAATTCACTACACTAGTTGTACATTATATCTTGTGTTCTTGCAGGTACATTTTATGAACTGGAAGTTCATCTAAAATTGAACCTGTAGTTTCGAATTTAGTGTATTTGAAACCAATATTTTCATATAAAACATACACCCATGAAACCTAAAAATTTTCAAGTAATCTAAACCAAAACATGTCCATAGAACTTGAATGTTGTAGTTTATGTTGATGGATATTTACTTTTCCATAAGACTAACTACAATCTTGTTCCCTCCATTGTAGTGGCATGTTAAACTTGAACAAATTCGACTTGTCCGTTATGGATGTATGTAGCAGAAACTAGTTGAAGTGAGTTCAAGATGTGAAGTTCTATCTCATTGCCAAAAGTCTCAGAGCCACCATTGAAGAGGCTACTGACAAACCAGTTGGTGAAGCTAACAAAATAACTGCATGATCTTCATTCAAATATAAAAGCATGATGTATTGCAGATCGAATACCTCACCAAAAAGGATCCACACACTCTCTGGCTCAATCTGGCAGAACGCTTCGAACACCAGAAGGATATCTTCTTACCTAAATTAAGACACGATTGGCAACACTTATGCTTCTAAAACTTTAAGTATGTGAATGAGTACTTAGGAAATTTGTCTAATCCGATCACTTCTCAAGTGTTGTAATAAGGACTTGACTAAATAAGATATCCTGGACACCTATTCACTTTTCATGCCACCAATATTGTCCTGTAGCAACAATAAATGCATATAAGTTCACTAAGTTTTGGAATTTGATCTCTATCTTACTACTTGCTGAAATGAAAAACCAATTTTGATGCGGAATTATCAAGCTATACTTATTAGCTTGAATGTGCTTTTGAAGCGCATGCCACCACTTCTCGAGGCCCCTAAGTATCATGGCCATGGAAAAGGGTCTAACCTTTAGTCACAGGCCCAAGGTCGACAATGCAGAGGCCCACCCAAGGGAGGAAATCTGACCCCAAATTGCAATTCCCTAGGGCCCACTTCAAGAATAAGGGCAAAGCTCAAACCAATCAAGATTATACTAATCTTGATATATGTTACTATTGTGGTTCCAAAGAATATTGGTCCCGCATTTGCCGAGCTTCCTCTGACATTATTGGTAGGTATCATTCACGTCCTCAAAAGATTGAGACAAACTTTGCACAAATGAATAATCCCGAAGATACCACCACATAAATTTCTAATTTTCAAGAGGCATCCGCTCCGATGGAAGATTAGATTAATTTTTAGACATGTTGGCTTAGTTCCCACTAGTGGCCCAACCCCCTATCTTTTATCATTTAATTTTTCAAACAATTTCCTATGTATTTGGACTGTTTGTTTGGTGTTTTATTTTAAACTTTAGGATAATTATTTTATGAATATTATTTCTCAAATAATTAATTAAATGAGTGGATTTAGAATTGTATCATAAAAATGTGACCAATTCAATTAAT